TGTCCTTTTGGGTAAATCAACAGTTTCAGGTATTATTCGTTTTTATTCTTTGGTTCACTTGTATATTCACAAGACTTCTCTACAAGCAGAGTATTGTTGCCAGTCTCTAACAAGTTTAAACAGAACCATAAACACTTGACATTGGCCCAATCCGATGAGGGAGAGCCATAAACAAGAAACAGAACAGAACAGAACAGACTTAGATTTGGCGAAGTTCGTATAATTCAACTGAAACTTTAATTTATATAATTGTTTGAAGCAAATTAAGTTAAACAGACAACGTTTTGTTATGTTATTATGCGATAATTTGTAAGTTGACGATATCTAAGAGACGTTATATTTAAATTTTAAGCTTATTTTAAACTAATATAAAATTAGACATTCCTATATCTATATGAAATTAATGCAGTTCGTGAGATTTCGAATATATTAAATTTCCAGCAAATAGTGAATCTCTCATTTAGTGAATGCTCTGAAACTATTCACGAATTCAATCCAAATCTACAAGTGCACAGTTTGCTATTCTCCGAATATAATTACCATTCCAATGTTAGTCGCACTTCGGGCACGGAATATTATAATCCCGGCCGCATTCCCGTCGCACCTGGCGCCGGGACTGAGGCGCGGTGGGACTGCGGCGCGCCGGGACTGAGCCGCAGGTGCCGCGTAATTCCCGGACCAACTAAATAGATATATCCCTCTCAACGAACTTCATCAGACAAACTAAGTCTTGCAGCGAGTCAGCGAAGTCGTTCGTAAATGAGCTGTCTATTTTTCGAGTTATCTTAACACTGGTATAAGTTGACTTTACAGAATGAACCTAAAAACAAAAAAATAACCCGTTTAGTAGATCTATATGCTCCCTTTGATTTACGTAATCTTGTTATCATTAATTTATTCATTCATTATAATATTCATTCATGCATGTCAATTATTAACTAAATGTTTCCAAATAGAAGTAGATTTTCAAACTGCTATCCGACCCCGACATCTCGTGCAAATCTTGTAAAATATGAGGCACTCAGGTGATTGGTTCGGCCGATTCATTGCAGTGAGTTACGCGGGGCTGAGGCCAGACTCTATCAAGTTTACAGTATGGCCCTAACACCCGCCCTTACTTTGTATCCAACTTAAAAGTGTAATTTAAAAGAAACTCATAAGGGTTTCCGTAATGAAATTATCTTAAGAGGTCAAAGTTTGAATCTATATTTATGGTTTGATATTCATGTCTATGACAACAAAAGTTTTGTGTTAATAAATATAAAATTCGAAATACTCACACGATACATTGGGAAGGTCGGCTTAGAAGACAATTCTTGGTGACAGTTCTAGTAAACGAAAAGCTTCATAACATACATAGATAAATAGCGGATTACTCGTCTTAGCACTATCAGCTCATCGTTGTCTTTAGTATAGGATAAATTAGTTTAGACGGTAACTCAGAGGTTAAGTACTTGACTTGTAATCTGCAGGTCCTGGGTTCTAATCCCGCCATGTACCAATGTGTTTT